ATTCATAACTAACAGAATATTCTTGAGGCCAAACCCTATCCCCAAACTTTCACAAAGTTTATGAACTCATGCGGACGTCATATATGGACCGTCCATACGATGTGTTTATTGTTTTGAAAAGTCTGTGAAGTCTTTGAGTGAATCCAATGCCACCGAAAAAAAGTGGTAAACAGTCGACGGAAACCATTGCCACAGACGGCAGGAGACAATCAGGACGTCGACGACAGACCACAACACACTTCGGCGTCGACGACACAAATGGTGGCCAACCGGATGAAGACAAAAGCGGTCCACAAGTGAATGGCATGAATGGCGCCAAACCGGCGAAGAGGGGCCGACGCAAGACTGTGATCGACAGCGCGTCCAATGGATCCGCTAAACGGCGTAAGGATTGTCTGGATTTAGCCCTCGAGAGGCTGAGCTCGCACTCGACGCCCGAATCGCTTCCGTGTCGTGAATCGCAGTTCAAAGATATCTTCAATTATGTCGAAAGCAAACTCATTGAAGGCAACGGCGGGTAAGCCATAGACACCATAAGACACGTAAACCGTGGACTCCTTGACCTCATACCTGTTGTATTCTGGCGATCGCCAACTCCATGGATTTGCCCGAAAAACTGATGATCAATAGGGTGTCCAGTCGTCTGGGACTGACTCGGCTGTCGTTCCACCCGTACTCATACAAAGAGCTCGAGGCTATTGTCGAGTCGCGGCTGTCGGGCCTGTCGGACGTGTTCGACGGCGACGCCTTGCAATTGATTTGTCGCAAAGTGGCGGCCGTTTCGGGCGACGCTCGCCGGGCGCTCGACTTGTGTCGACTGTCCGTACAGACGGCCCAAATGGCGGACGAGTCGATGGTGTCGCTCAAGTCGGTGGACGCGGCCCTCCACGAGATGTTCAATTCACTCAAATTGGTTCGCATTCGCGACGCCGCCCTCCAGGAGAAGCTCTTCCTGCGGTCTGTTGTGCAGGACTTCCGTGTGTCGGGCGTCGAGGAGTCGAGCTTTATAGACGTCTATCGCCACCACATCGAGATGTGTCACTTCGAGGGCCACTACCCGCCCAGTACTGTCGAGTTGGAGAGGATTGCCTACAATCTGCACACTTCGAGGCTTATTATACTGGAGAAGAGCGGTTCCCATCTCTATAAACGCGTTCGCCTTAACGTATCGGTCGATGACATCAACTTTGCTCTTAAAATGTGATTGTCTTATGGGAAGTGTTGGCCATTACAGGCAAAGCATGTGTTCAGCGATTATAAGTTGAAATTATGATGAGTTTGTTGTGAATATAAAGACAATTCCTATTGAATAATTGAAAGTTAATTTCAATATTAATTGATTTATAGGTTTAATAAATAATGAATTTTTAAATATTTTTGTATTCATTTTAATCACAAATTATTTTAATAAATGATTGATTTTTAAAGTACCTGTAATTTCATTGTATTTACCGATAAAATTTATAAATTTACTAAATTAACAAAACCAGAATTCTTGTCTAATGTTACAAATTTATTCATAATCTCTAGATTTTATTGAGATTTTTCGGATTTTATTTGTGTTTGATATTTAAATTATAAACTAAACCCAGAATTTAAGTGATAATTACTAAATTGAATTATTTGAACTATTTAATTACTAGTTGTACTAATTCTAGTATACTGTACTAATTTTATTTTAGAAGTTAAAAGATATTAATTCTAATGGAACGATGTTTTAATTCAATTTAAAATATATAACAATAGATTTCTAAATTATACAGAAAGTTATAAATTATTACACAATTAGACCTATACTGAATACAAAATATTTACATTCACTTTTGTATTAACAGAATTCCTTACAACATATTCCTTAATCAATAAGTCATATAATGAAATAATATTGTATAGAATTTGTTTAATTTATAACAAAACACCAAATTTACCAATCAATTGTCAAGAATTATTAAATTTTGTAACAAAAATTCTGTCATTTCAATGGAAAATCTATATTATATGTGAGGCAAACCTATAATTTGTATTTCTATCCATTATTTAGATTGATAACAAACCGATAATTATATTTGGATTTCACAACAATTATAACACTCCCATATACAGTATTATTCCTATTTTAGATTTATATAAAAATCATAACAAATAGTACATTTCACCTAAAATTATATATAATTTTGTAGATTATTTACACACCAGTTCTCCAAATGAATAATTAAATATTTATTTCCGATCTTATGATATCTTGAGGTACGATATGATTATTGAAGTATTACATTATAGTTTATGAATTCAATATGTTTGCCTAAAATTCACAAATAGTACAATTGAAATCCTAATAAATTATGAATTATTTTACCAAAAAAGTTATTTTGTTATTTATTTTTATATTGACTCTACTCTACAATCCAATTCACTCGATATATATTCAATCAAACTTTTACACATTTCTTAATGAGATTTGTCTTAAAAGTAATCAAAGGAATATTCTGTACACTAATTTTGTTAATACTTCTTTAATAAATAAATATTTTATTAAAAATAAATGTGAACTTGAACTTATAACTGAATTGAATGAAGAATATTCTGATACCATTAAAGTCTTAGATGAAAAAGACATTAATTTGTTAATTGAGATCAATAGTGATAATCAATTTGATACAATGAGTGATAAAGTATTTAACAGTCATTTTGGATTTCACAACAATTATAACACTCCCATATACAGTATTATTCCTATTTTAGATTTATATAAAAATCATAACAAATAGTACATTTCACCTAAAATTATATATAATTTTGTAGATTATTTACACACAAGTTCTCCAATTGAATAATTAAATATTTATTTCCGATCTTATGATATCTTGAAGTACGATATGATTATTGAAGTATTACATTATAGTTTATGAATTCACTATGTTTGCCTAAAATTCACAAATAGTACAATTGAAATCCTAATAAATTATGAATTATTTTACCAAAAAAGTTATTTTGCTATTTATTTTTATATTGACTCTACTCTACAATCCAATTCACTCGATATATATTCAATCAAACTTTTACACATTTCTTAATGAGATTTGTCTCAAAAGTAATCAAAGGAATATTCTGTACACTAATTTTGTTAATACTTCTTTAATAAATAAATATTTTATTAAAAATAAATGTGAACTTGAACTTACAACTGAATTGAATGAAGAATATTCTGATACCATTAAAGTCTTAGATGAAAAAGACATTAATTTGTTAATTGAGATCAATAGTGATAATCAATTTGATACAATGAGTGATAAAGTATTTAACAGTCATTTCTCAATGAATGATAACTTTATTATTGTAATAAAAAAACAATTGCTCAAAGAATTAGAGACTAAATTGTTTCACAGATTCAATGACTTCCGGAGTATTGTAATCAGATATGAGACAGATTTGAATGAAGTGGCCGTCGCTTACATCAGACCCGTTATCAATGGTTGCCATTCATATAATGGGATATTATATTCAACGGATTCCACTGTCAAAGACAAGATAACATCAAACACTTGTAATCTTAACGGAACTCAACTCAGAGTTGTTGTAAATATCGTAAGTGTTTACGAATTTAAATGAAATAGCATTTGAATGATCTTTGGTGTCACTGATTAGGATCTGCCGTATTGTGACCTAGAGTACAAAGATGGCAAATATGTGTTGAAGAAGTCAATAGAGATGAAGATGATAGAGCTAATGGCTGAGAGATTCAATTTCGTGTATGAAGTCGTTTACGCGAACCAGAGTTGGGGTACTCTTCAGAACGGCGTTTGGACGGGAAGTGTCGGACATCTCTATAATAAAGTTTGCATTTCTTATGTCTTAGTCTTTCATTTAAAATAATAATTAAAAATTATTTTCCAAAGACCGCCGATATAGCCATTTGTGACTTAACTCGAAATACTGAGAGACTAAAAGCGGTTGATTTCACCAAAGCTTATATAACAGTTCCCTTAACTTTCGTAACAACTAAACCGGGTCTCAAACCTCGCACATGGATTACAATCACTCCTTTCACTCTTAATGTGTGGATATCTATGGTTTTGTCTTTCATTGTGACCACGATTTTGGTCCAAAGATTGTATAATGAAATACATATAAATGAGAACCGAATCGATTCCATATCCATATCACTCATTGGAGCACTTCTTCAGCAATGTATTCAATATTAATTACAATTTTATTAATGAATTTAATTTATTAAACCTGTATACCGTATAATACCTTTTTATAGCCTTAATAATCGTAAACTCTGAACACACTATAATCCGCTTTTATATCTGTTTGTGGTTATTGTCATCACTTGTGTTAATGAAATCCTATTCCGGAATCTTCTACTCTATTCTAACTGTTCCTGAATATAAGGATGCGATCGAAACGTTGGAAGACTTAACAAAAGCGGCAAAGAGTAGCGAATACTCGATCGTAACGGTTCCCAACTCTTTCTATTATGAACTGTTTATCCACAACAGCCCGTGTTGTGGTGCATACCATACCATCGGAACAAATATAAACAGATCGATGACTGAATTCCAACTGCCGGCCAGTACACAGATGGGCATTGAACTCATCAGTGAAGCCATTCGTCACAATAAGATCGTTATATTCATCTACACATCTGTTCCCTTAATGTTCGGGATCCGGACGTACGCTACCGTTGAAATGTACATCTCATCCGAGACTCTGATGATGGACCAGATGGCTATGGCTTTGCCAAAGGGATCGCCGCTTCTCAGATCAATGAATAAGGCGTCAGAATATTCTTTAGTTTTAATGTCAATTGTGTTCATTTCCTAACAGATCTTCATTGCCTCCACAGTATTGAACAGTTCACCGAAAATGGTTTGTACGACAACTGGCAGACAGAGACCATGAACTCGATCCCGGCTAAAGTACACGTCGAGGACACCAAAGGCTCTCCAATCGATTTAATCAAAGACTTACCACTCAAAGACATTCAAAGCATTTTCTATATTTGCATTTTAGGTCTTTTGGTCTCTGCTTTGGCCTTAATCTCCGAACTAATCATTCACTACAAGAATAATAATGCAATTATTTGCACTCAAAGTCAATCAAATGAACAGAATTATGTTTCTGTAAATTTATTTTAATTAAAACACAAAATAAACAAAAAATAATTAAAAATGAGACCAATAGTCATCGTTAAAAGTTAAAAACTACAACACATTACTTAAGACAACAATTAAAAACCACTTATTGATATGTATCAGTGGTTTGGCAATGAATTGCATTAAAAAATTAAATAAATATGTCTTCAAATGACAAATTAATTAGTGAATGAAACGATAACTGCTTAGAGTATAAACTGATTGAGTGGACAGGTGTCACAGTAGATGACAAGATTGGACTTGAACATATTGAACTGCGGGAACTGATCGCTGCAATTGCTCATCGAGTGGTAGTTCAACACTTCACACATTCTGGCGATGATTTGGTCGACCGTCAGATCCGTTTGAAAGCGAGTGCCGCACGAAACGCACGCCAGATAGCCATCCGTGGTGTGCATCGCCTGCACCTTACAGTACGGACAGGGAATCACTCGCTGGCCGTGCAGTGCACTCAAGAACATCTGACTCTTGCGCTGATCCTCTTTGGTCTGCAACCCCTCCCACGACCGGTTCTGCTCCTCCAGGAACTCGTGTCGCACTTCTTGGGCCAATTGGTGCGCCTTCTGTGCGGACATCGACCGCATGTCCTCGTCGTTGGTCATCATGTGCTGCAGCTCTTCGTCGATGTAGTTGTCGTTATCTTCATCGGCGGCGCCGGCGCTGTCCTCCATGTCGTTGATATCTATTTTTCTCATCCGATCCACGAGTGATGATCTCATTTCGTGGCACTGTTTCAGTCTTGAGAGCAGTCTATCTCTGCATAAGTCGCGGGTATTCGGCGAATACCATCGACTCATGAGTTGGTGTCTGTCTGTCGGCGACAACTTTAATCCGGAGTCACACATCTCTTCAGATATCTACCACAACACCAGTGCCTGGGAAACGATGGGAGCATTAATGGTAAGCCTCGAGAGCGGCATCGATGGTCACCTCGAAGATCACACTTCGAGTCAACCCTTTCCCGCCCTTTACTGTCGACTCGATCGACACTTACTTACCTTAAGATTTGTTGAGACAATCACTCACTACACCGAAACCTATTCATACAAATTCAGTCCACTATTGATTCACATGTTTATGGTTTGTGTCCGCGAAATGAAATCTCAATTAAAATGAGTTTTAAATGAATTTAAATGAAATTCAAATGAAATGAATGAATGATTGAATGAGTGATGAGTTCAGTGATGACTGTATGAGTGAAACGAGTGCTGAAAATGTGTGTGAAATGCTTTGACCATACGTTTGGCACTCAATGAACGGTCCCTTCAGTTCACACACTATTGACAATTTCGTTGTCATTCTGAAGCACATCTCAAACTTATTGTCGTTTTCGGCCATCACTTGTCGGACAACAATGTCTTCAGCCGTCGATTTGCTGGATCTGCGGATCCGAGCCATTGAGGAGCGACTGTTGGGACGGACGGCCACTCGCGCCGACACCGGAGTGGACGCCAACCACACGATTGTCGACCAATTGGTCCGCATTGATGAGCGCCTCCAAGAGCTGACCGCAGGAAAGGAGAGATTCAACAACTGTTACCAGAAGTGCCGACAATTGGATAAGTATTTGGACACCGAATACATGGAGCGAATGGCGGCCACGGATTCGGCCAAATTGGAGCAAATCCTGGCCTTCGAGGAGCAACTGAAAGACGAGGCCCAGTGTCTGGAAAGAGTGGATCAGTTGTCCGCTAACATCGACTCCGACCACATCCGCGGTCACCAGAAGTTTCAGCAAAGACTCGACAAAATTCGCGTCATTTCTCTGCAGAGGAGTCAAGAGTCGGCCCGAATCGAGGAGAAGACCAAACAACTGGTGTTGTCTTACAATCAGTGGCTCGAAGCCATCAAAAGACAACTCGCGGATTGGGATCAAGTGGTGACTCAGTTGGAGGACAAACACCGCAATCAAAAGTCGCGTAAAAGTAGTCGTAAAGTAGATAACGATTAGTGGATAGCAATGGAAATCAATGCAATTGTAAATGTAATGCAAACCAAACCATAACTCAATTTATAAATCAATTATTTATTCTAAAAATAAATTTACAAAACTTTTTCACTCAATGACTAAACGGAGACTTAATTGACGTTTAATTAGAAACAGTTATTCACATAAAAAGTATATAAAAGTTATTTGTAGTGAAAAACACTGAAAGAGTTGACTAATTGTAAAGAGTTTTGTGGACACGACTTATGAAGGCTTCGCTGTGTTTGGCTTAGAGGAGGGCTCTTTGGCCTCGCCGTCCGATCCCAAGACATTGCGGTCGATCTCCCAGATGTCGATCTTCTGCTCGTTCAACGCCTTCTTCACGCAGTTCTGGTATAGTTTGAAGAGATGGTCGCACGAGTGGTCGTTCCCTCCCAGTCCTCTCAGGTACTTATCGGCGAACCAGCCGTTGAAGCACTCCTCGTACTGGCGCTTCAGTTCATTGCAATCCTTTCCGATGCTATTCATGATGTCTTCAGCGGTCATCAGATGTCTTGGATGTCACCCAAAGGCCAACTAAACCGCTGTTTAATGGCATTTAAATTTCAAACCATTTTCCCATTCATTTGCAAATTGTTTTTATTGTGCAAAACACGAGGCGTTAGAAAAGGGCGTAAACCAAACCCCAGTCGCGTGCAAATGAATGGCTTTTGTAGTTATAGTTAAGCCCTTTTAACAGGGTTTTAATGCAATATAGTGAAAGGGACTGTATTTTTATTACATTCAAAATAATTTACACAATTTAATCAATAGTTTAAATAAAACTCAATTTAATTACAATTTAAATGCACCAAAAATCACGTGAAAAACGACGTCTGACTGAATGTCTCTGTAATCAAAGAAACAAATCATAAAATCTAATGAACCGAAAGCCACGCAAATATATCTACCGTTATATTCTTCGGACAAATCAATGGTCTCTTTGATTCGTTGGAGACAATGGCCATCAATGAGGCCATCGATGAAACTATTGCTGGCGTCGAAGCCGTTCACACGGAATATGATCTCCTGTCCGATTCGCATGTATGCCATCAGTTCCTGTTTGTCCACGTCTTCGGCAAACATAATGGTGGCGTCAATACAGGTGCCGATCAATGCACCACAATATGAGGCGCCCATCCTATCACACCATTCGCACAATCAATACACGGCTCATACGCACAGGCATACGGATCCATACCTATTGATCTTAGTTCGGATCAGTTGACCGACGGATACGTTAAATGTTGTGAATTTGGCACCAATTGTCCAGAAGACCACGGGTTGGTCATCGATAATGCGACCCAAGTCTGTGGTGAACTTCAAGTGACTGTAATCTAATAACACGCCTTTTAATCTGTCAATTAAATAGTGGATTAGTTATAGACACCAAATGAATGGACACCAACTCATGATTGTATTGGTTCTTCATATTGTCTAAAATGCGAGAAATAGCGCGCTCTTCGGAACCGATGAACTTGGGATCCAACGGGATCTCTATCTGGCGGTAGTGAGTCTCGAAGCACGAGCTCTCGTCCAGTATCTCGTTGTCAGTCATCGGCGGTTACATTGAATATCACCGTTGAGTTGAATCACACAAAAAAAGACACAAAATATTTGTTGACAACACGAGTGCTGAACACGTGTTTGTGATCGCAATCAGTAGTCAAAAGCATTGGGTAGATCCTTACTGTTTTTTCACATGTAATGTACAGTCTGTTTAAACAATGCTCTAATAAAAATACCAAAATATTATTTCAAATAAAAACTTTAATAAAATATTTAAAATAGATATACATTTGTAATTATATTTTACGAATAATAGGCAGAAAAACCAAATGGTAAAAAACTGCCAAATTAGTTAAAATTTAAAAAAGATTAGTTGTATCATATTTATTAAGAGTACTATAACTTTTATAATTATCTTCAATTTGTTTTCCAGTTTTATCATCGACCGCAAGTCTTTCATCAAAATATATCCAACGTTCAGCGTAATAATATGCGTCAAAAGTATGAATGTTTTCAGGGCCATTGAATCGGATTCTTATTAAAGCATCGAGACTTAAGTCTTCTAATTGACTCCGAGTTTCGGTAATAAGATTTAATATGGAAAAGGTCCTAAAATTGGTATTCAAAAATATATTAATTTAAGGCATTCTCGCATTCTCATCCATACCTTTCCGCGTCGGCACTCCCTATCGGAATTGTAATTATTGATCTAATTAGTGTTATAGTGTTTTGTGTCCAACCATCCTTGGTATTCAACATTTGAGCCCAAAAGGTAACTGGTGTTAAATCATAAAGTTCACACCATTCTTTCACGTTATAACTAATCGCAGTTAACAAAATAATCCAATCTTTAAGAAGCTCATCAAGGCTGACATCTTTGAATTTAAAATAATTATAAATATTTGTAATTTCCACGATTCCATAAGTTGATATGGTTTTGTCGTCGTTGGGAATATTTTTCGGTAGAAATATATTAAAATTTTTAGTGTGAATGTTTGGGAACATATTATCAATGTCGGAAAGAATTTTGTTGATTAAATCACTTCGAATTGTTGACAATTTGGGAATTTTTGGGGCGTTACCAATGTCTTCAATTATGGTTACTCCGTTGTATTTTACATCAATATTAGATTCGTAAAGATCCATATTACATTTAATTTTTATCTGACTTATATCAGATTGAATGCAATTAATGTTGTTTAAATAATCGTTCAAAATCTTCCCATCCATTTGATTTAAATTTTCAACTTCAAGTTTCATTTGCTGTATGTGTGAATCTAAACCAATAATAGATTGACCAGATTGTTGAAAATGTAATGAGTATTTGCTTAAAATTAAAAGCAAATCTTCTTGAAAATGTAATATAGCCAAGTAGTTTTTATCTTTTATAATATTTAATAGTCGAGTTGCTTCAGCTTTTGTACGAGTATCGAAATTTTCAGATATACTTGTAATTGATTTCAAGTTATCAATAAGTAATTTCCAATTTACTCGTATTGCCTTTAAAGCTCTCATTGTTGTTGAGCACCAGCGTATGGGTATTATCGAGTGCAAAGCATACAATTTTTCATTATTATTTTCTGCCATTTCTCTTAAAAATAATAACCTTTTATGACTGTGAGAATAATAAAATGAATATATATTGTTTATACTGTCTTCAAATGCTTTATAATAATCATTAATTTTGTAAGAATGAGACAATACAAGCTCAATTTTATGGGATGCACAAAACGACGCAAAGATTATATTTGGTTGAACAAACTTTCGTATAAGAGCAATAAGTCCCCCTTTCTCTCCGGACATAACATTTGCACTGTCGCTACTATATCCAACTAAATTATTTTTAAAATATTCAGTTAATCCATCAAATTCAAGCCAATGTTGTATTTCATTGAATAAGCCAAGGGCCGACTCATCTCTCGATAATTTAATTAAACGATAAAAAAACACAAATGGTTTATTATACCATGTTACTTGAAAAAGGACTGTTAAATAATGGTTTTTATTATAATCGTTAGAGCTATCTAAGATTATTGAAAGGGGCAATTTCTTGTCTAGTAAATAGTCAAGCAATCTTTGATGCATTGAAAGGCTCATTGATTTTGTCATTGCTGCCGCACCCATGTCATTGATATAATAACTTCCTAGATCTACACCATGTATTTGTTGTAAAGCAACAAAGTTCTCGTGTTGTCTGAATGCGACGTTTGCGCGAATTTCGGCAAATAGTGTTCTGAATACTCTTGCTGTGGCTGTTATTTCTTGTTTTTTAATATCACGTTGTAGTTGTATGTTTTTAAAATATTCTTCAAAGTTGTGAATCATATATTTAATCAATTTTGAAATAACAGCTTGATGCAATTGACTTCTATAATGGAATTTTATTCTTTTATAATTTGTATTATAATTATCCGAAACTTCAACTCCATCCTCATTGGCTAAATCACTATAATAGCTCTTATCAATAGCAAACTCTTTTTCAAATTTTGAGCATATTCTGCATTTATATTTATGTGTATCTTTGTTGTAATGAAACCATGTATGAACAGTTTTTTCTTTCTCAATTAATTCTATAGGCATTAAATCTCGGTGAAATGACTTTATCATCGGTACCCATAATATATCAAACTCTTCAGTTGACTCCCAGATTGGTTGTGCAGGATGATCAAATGAATCCAATTTATTAACCACATGTTTTACAATTTCAATATCTTTGTTCACTGTGTTATCATTCAGTTGCGCCGAACACACCGCATTTAGAGGATTTTCATTGGCATTTGTTTGTTCAATATCAATATCCATTCCTTCAATTAATTCTTCTTCATCACAAGTAAAGCTATAACCCATATTTGGAACCACTCTTATTACGGAAGGCTGGTGTTTCAAAGAGCAGTCATTTGGTTCGTTCGGAGAAGGCTTTCCTAATCTAAAAGACTCTGGGTAATAGGTTTGCGTAAAAACTGTACATCTATTGAGTGTCAAAGGGTATTTCCACTTATCTTCCCATCCTCTTAATACATAATTTTTTATACGGAATTCAGTTTTTAATTCAACGAATATTCGACACTTGTCGTCATTTTGTTTATTTCCAATTACAACTAAATCTTGTATAGTAGATTTAATTATATTTCGCCAAACATCATCCTTAATAAGAATTTGCTTTGTTTTCATATCTAATTTAAATCCAATAATGCCATCTTTTTTATACAATAATGCAATACCAAAAGGAAATCGATAATTGTTTGGAATAAAATTTGTTTTTCCTTTGTGTACGATGGCATTCCTATACATAATTTTTGGGTTAGGTACTTTTAAATCAGAATTGGAAACCATTGAATTTCCGATTACTAACAATCGATTCGTGTTGAATTTCAAATCATTTAAGTCGATTATTGTTGTGATTAAAGGATTAAATCCTAAAAATTAATATAAAATTTTAGTTAAATATAAATTCTACAAATTTATAATAAATTTACCTTTTGTACCGTACTCTATGATAGCTATATAAAACCCATTTAAACTGTACTCAGTTTCACCAGGGTCGGCAATCAATTTTAATTCAATAAATTCTTTGTTTTGAACTTGTATCGGATTTTCAGCTTGTATTTCATTTATAACCACAATTCTTTGGTTTGTAATATTAATTAGCCCAAATGCCAAAACGAGAAATCTAATGAAATCAAATGATTCCATGATTCTGTGAGAAATAGATATATTATAATTATTATTTAGTGTTATAGAATTTATTTTCATGCACTCTCTCTCTCTCTCTCTCACTCACTACTAATTATTAAATAAATACAATCTATATGAAGACAATATGAAGAGAACTGAAGAGAAGTGAAAGGGAGGGAAGGACAGAAATATGTTGTACAAACCAAAATAATAACCCACTTTTTTATTACGTATATGTGGTTAATAATTCTCTAAATAAATATTTTTGCAACGTTTTAGAAGTCATACATAATGACGGTCTTGCCCTAACCTACTTCGGGATGCGGAGTGGGCGCCGCCCCCATTTGGAGGACCGGTTCGCCGACACGACGGCCGACGCACAGGCCCTCACCAGTGTGTCTGTCCGCCGCCGCTCCCGGGCGACGGACACGTGTTTGCCTCTCGGGCGGCGGGTGTCTACCCCCTGGCGACCCCCTGTCCACCCCGCCGCCTCCTGTACTACTGATGCTGGTGGTTGCGGTCACCTGCGTTGCCCCGAACGCTCTGAGCACCGTCTGTCCACCACTGCCAGTGCGTAGCTGTTGGCGCGTCCGTAGACACCGACCAACACTCGCACTGGCGGACGGCC